AAAATTCTTATAGAACATTTTCTGCTTAGAATTCGGCCCTCTATCGAATCGTGAGGTTATTTTTAATAAAAAAAAATCCCACCCCGCACAAGGGGTGGCATCCACTCCTAGGGTAAAACCACACGTCGGCACTATATAACTTTTGTTTCTTGGGTTATTCCCTAGCTACAGTGCAAATTTCACGTTAATCCATTCCATCCGAAAAAATTGGTAGCCAAAATGCTTCAGTGACTGGACTAATATTTTGCTCAGTAAGACGTGTTGCTAAATCTGTTTTATCCGCTCTGTAATTGTGGTAGTTAATGATTCCAAAGTAGCGTGTTAAATTTGCATATGATTTAATATATTCCCGCAAAAAGCGCGAGGGGTAAATTGATATCATATGAGTAAATTTGGAGCCCACTGTGAATAAAGAGACGGAATGAGTACGAATTGAAGGAAAATAGGCACGCATTTATACGTAATGACGGGAACCTGGAAATGATATAAAAACTGTGCCTCGCTTAGATTTCCTTTTATATCCTTCACACTATAGGAGTATCTTCGCAAATAGGAATTTAAGTTGGAAATATATGTGTTGGCATAGTTCCGTTATAAATCTACATTACCAGTCTTTGTCCAGATGGGTCACAAAATCGCAGAATATGTATGAAATTTTAAAAAACTCGCTTCGTTTTAAAATCTTACTACCATGGCATCAGTTGATTATCCGCTGTTTCAATATCTCCGACCTTTCGTATGGGAGAAGGGGCGGCCTATTCTAATTCGATGGACTATGTTGGAAACTTTAATCACATGGTGAAGTATTTTTAATTGCTTTACCTTGTTCAATTCCAGAATCACAGCTTCTTGAAAGGACGCTCGAACTAGTATGCAAAAAATTTAGAAACTTAATTGAAGTTTATAAACGTATTTACCTTTTGTAATGGAAGGCGCACCTACCTATATCGCATGCACGGCCATCTGGGAAATCATAACAGACACCATATTTTTTCCATAAATTCTTCGGAGACCGGATGAATTTAATGGGACCTTATATATTTTTCTAATGAATTTTTAATACAAAGGAACAAAGATTGATAGGATGATATTTCTGACGGAGCATTATCATAGTTGCATCCTGTCTGGCTTGACTTTTAAAAATGGATTCTACCTTGATGTGAATGGTGGGTAAATATGGTTTAAATTCTGCAACTATTTGTGGATAACCCGATATATATTTCCGCGTATTCATCAGTTGTTAATTTTACGCTACGTTTACATCAAATATAAATTAAAAATTCCGCTGTAATTTACAAAAAAAATAGATTTATCTGCTCGTCAGAGTTTTCGTAATGAAATTATGTTACAGATTTTAACTACACAATTTAAAATGTTAAATGAGCACGACGTGGATAATGCAATCCAATTTTATCCAGATAATACGATAGGGAAATGATATTTCAATTAAGTCGACTCCAGTTTGCACCTTACCGGAAGATAATTCGAGAAGTATACGCAATGTTCTAATATACAGAGATATAATTAGTTTTTTAAACTGCACTTTAATTCTTGTTTGCTTACGATGCCTAGTGGCCACTCGGAATTAGCAAGGTAAGTTGTATCAGTGCACTATCAGCGTTGCCAGTTGTTTTATAAACTTTTATAAATCAATTGTTAGAGAGTGACAAAATATTTTTTGTATATTATTTAGTAAATATTTACGAATATTGGTATGCTTTTTTGCCGATTCAAAAAACGCACATAAAAAAAATTAATAAAGATATTAATCTGATTGATATGTAACATTTTTTTAAGCCGTTTCAAGTTTTTATAAAGAATTATGTCACTATTATGACTAATTTCGGCTTTAACTTTCTACCACCCTGTATGAAATTAAGTCACTTTGAAATTATGGCAGGGAAGCTTAGAGTTTTAGTTATGTCCCCTATGAATTTTATCGCTCTAACTTTATTATTGTAAAATACACATCTTTTTTAATTTGGCAGTACTTTTTTTTTTCATTAAATAACGAGCGTTCAAATAAAAACGTGGTCGAAGTTGGCTCTGACACATTGGACGTAGGGAGTAGCTTATAGCGACCAACTTAACCTCATTTCTCAACGAGCTGTATAGCTGCTGTCAGTTTCAATAACGTTTGACGTTAATGACTATATAACTTTATTTTAAACAATATTCGTGATAACAATAACAAACAATTAAAGGAGCTGCGGAAAGTGTCCCCCTCCTTGTTATAACAATAAATTAAAGCAGCTGCTGAAAGTGTCCCCCTCCTTGTTCCAAGCACTTTTCACACCTGTTCCTCAAAGAATTAAAGACATTTTCTAAGATGCTCGGGGTATTGTTAATTTCACGAATCTTGTCTATAAGTCGAGCCTGCAGATGGTTTAAATCAGGAATAGGCAGTTCAAAAATAGTGTTTTTAAGGTAAGGCCACAAAAGAAATCACACGGCGTAATATCACATGACCTCGGTGGAAATTCATATACAGCATTGAGACTTATTAGTCGATTTTGGAAAACTTCCCTCAACATATTCATCGTCTCGCCTGCCGTATGTGCTCTTGCGCCATCTTGTTGAAAGTAAAAGTTTGTAATTTCGTTTTCTTCCAGCTGGTTAACAAAAGGAGCGATAATTTCTTCTCTATACCTTTGCGCAGTAAGAGTACCATTAAAAAAATAGGTCCATAAATCCTCCTTCAATTGAGAGCACACCAAACTCCAATTTTTTGAGCGTGTAGAGGGCCCTCGACAAAAAAGTTATCTGGTCTTTCAGAAGACCACATTCTCATATTCTGTGAGTTTACGTAACCACTTAAATGAAACCAGGCTTCATCAGAAAAAAAGGTGATATTATGAAGTTCACCGTAGTAGTTTAAAAACCATTCACAAAATACAGCCCGTCGCGGAAAATCAACTTCATGAAGTTCTTGCTGACAAGTTAAACGATAGGAGAACAAACGCAAATCTTTTTTTAACACTGTGTGGCAGGTACCGACTGATACTCCCACCATTTGTGAAAAAACACGTACAGAAGTTCTTGGCGCATTTTCCATTATTTGTTGGACATTTTCTTTTAATTCTTCAGTCCGCTTTTTAGATCGGCCGCTTCCTTCTTTTCTTGTTACACTGCCCGTTTCACGAAAAACATTAACACAACGCTGAACTGCGCTTTGAAAAATTTTGTACTCAACAACGCCGGGAAATTGATTTTGAAATTCTATGAAACATTCCTCAATAGAATACTTCCATATTCCATCAATCTTGCGTCCATTTCTAAAGTAGGACTCTATGATAAACACTTTTTGTTCTTGAGAAAACACCATTTTAAACGCTTTTTAAAACGAAAATATTCAAATTGATAGCGGCGATATAGCGCTTTGACAGATGACGTTTAAGTTCATTTGCTATACGCTACGCCCTACGTCCAAATTTTCAGAACCAACTTGACCACGTTTTTATTTGAACGCTCGTTATATCAAAAACGGTTAACTTTAAAAATAAGAAACGTTAATGAAAGTTCACTTAAAAATTGAAGGGTCCAAAATTGCAATAATATACAGAGTGTTCCATTTAAAATAACGAAGATGACGTCAACTTCCGGTATAACCGCAAGCTTTAGGTGGACTCTATTTCAATTTTACTAAATTCGGCATTAACTTTCTACCACCCTGTATGAAATTAAGTCACATTGAAATTATGGCAGAGTTTTAGTTATGTTCCCTATAAATTTTATCGTTCTAACTTTATTATTGTAAAATACACATCTTTTTGAATTAGGCGGTACTTTTTTAATTTTTTTTGGACAAAATTAAATATATTAAAAACGGTTAACTTTAGGAATAGGAAATCTTTGTGAAAGTTCACCTAAAAATTGACATAGAATCCAAAATTGCAATAATATACAGGGTGTTCCATTCAAAATAACGAAGATGACGTCAACTTCCGGTATAACCGGAAGCGTTAGGTGGACGATTATTTTAGTTGAGAAGGGCATGCCCAAAAACACTATTGCCCAAATTTTCAAAATTAAAATCGAAGTAGTCTCTGAAATATGTCTAATGTCTATGTAGATCTAAAAGAACTATTCGACGGACCATTTTGGAGAAAATATGAAAGATATACTGACAGAGAGTTTGAATTATTTAATGTCTCCCAATTTATATCTGACGGCCGAGTATTGAACGAGTTTCTTGATAGACTAAAGAAATTCTTCACGTTTCAAGTTCCCTAAAATGTCCCCTTCAGTCGGCCAATAAAGCTGTTCTTCCGGGTGATAACCTGGTCATTTAACATTTATGGAAGAAGAATGATAAGAAGGGAAGATGGGGGAAGAAGAGAGTAGAGAAAATATTAGTAGTTAACCAGAATGTACCTGCGATATGCCGCAGTGTACGTTACAATTTTTGAGGTAATTAACAAAGCATCATAAAATAATAAATTCCAATTCATATCTAATGCGGGAAGTTCACACTCGAAAAAAAACAGAGCCCGTTGGCATAAATCTAGCCGTAGGTGTATTGCTTTTATTTTTGGCTGTTCAATTACTGTACCGCGAATTATCTCAAAATAGTTGCGTCCTACTGAGTGTTTGGTCTCTCGGAAGCAATTAGAAAGTTGTTTCCCCAGTCCCGTCATTTTCGTTTCACGGTGACGGATTTATGCGAAGTTTTCATTGACTTGGGTTGTGGAATTATTTATCATATTGACATAATAACGTTCCATCAAATAATTACTTAAAAACATGTGAATAATTAAAGAACCAAGACGGATTACAGCGAACGAAATTTCATCAGGCCATACTTAAACCTAGTCGGCAAGAAATTAAAAAACAATCATTCACTTATATACCGGCTTATATAAACACATTCTAGGTTCTTTTTTTACTGAAACGAACGCGCTTTTAGCATTTTCCTTTAAACAACTTCGTTAGGTTCGGTAACTCAATAGAACTTAGACCTGGCAGTTGCCAGGGAATATTTGAATTTGACTGGTACTTACCGCTTTCTTAATAAATGAGACGAAACCATATCCTTTTGATTTTAAAGTTTGTGGGTCCCTTACTACCCTGCAATCCCTGAAAAAAGAAAACAAATAAATAATTCAGTATTGCTTTTATTTTCTCATCAAACAATGTTTTAGTTATAAGAGTAAAACCTAATAAAAAGCTGAGTTATATATTTTCCCGTCCTCTGGAATGTTGATTGTAACTAAAATCCGAAGATTTTTTTCTTCGGCTAATTACATTTGAAAAGAATGCTAAAAGTAGCCCGTCGTCTCGTTAGAGATTTTCTGTTCCGAGACCAATTTCTTATAAAGGGGAAAAATACATAAAATATTATTAAGATAACATCATAAAGTTGTTAATGTCTAAGAAATTTATGGAAAATAGCTATTGTAACCTTACGCTTGAAATTTACAATGATAATGCCGCCGGGAGGTATCGCGTTTCCAGATCGCTTCAAACGAGAAAGGGTACAGTGGTTATTGCGAGGACAAAAATTGTTTTTTGGGCGTTATTTAATATATAGAACGCCATGGATGTGTTACTTGATCCGAAGGCAATTGTTTCATTTATTTTTAAACTCGTTCCTTCAGCCGTTCTTCCTGAAAATCTATCAGAACTTTTATCTGACATAAGGGGACGGACTAGGTGAATTCATTGTTGGTACTAAAATCATTGTTTCTATTCATCTAGCTATGTTCGCTATGTTCGCCACTACTGTTTTTAATGGAGTGATACAGAATGCATACGATATAATAATATACCCTACGTTCGCGGTGGTAGATACGTCCAAGAAAATTTAATACTAGTGATAAACAGGGTGCTATGCTTAGCTATGTTCGTTCTCTGTATTAAAATTAGCGACCACGTTAAATGATGTAGTCACATAGAATGCGTTCGTTACGTTTGCGGTGGTACATATGTCGAAGCAAATTTTATGCCAGTGCGCTATGTTCGCTTGGTATATTAATAATGGTAACCATTTTAAATTGACCTGGCTTCATAGAATGCGGACGATATTTATGCCACGTTCGTAGTGGTAGATACGTCGAAATAAATTTGACGCTTGACAGAGCGCTATGTTAGCTATGTTCGCTTTATACACATATTAAAAATAACAACTATTTTAAATGGACTTGGCTACATATGTACATTATATACACTACGGTGAAGCGAGGGCGCTATGTTAGCTATGTTCGGTGTGTGTACTAAAAGTAGCATCCCTTTTATAAATAAGTGTGGCCACATAGAATGTGTCCTGAATGTACGCTACGTCCGCGGTTATAGATACGTTTGATGCAAATTTCATGCTAGCCTTAGAGCGCATTGTTAGCTATGTTCGCTGTGGTAGTAAAAATAGCAACCATTTTAAATGGCTGCGGACACATTGTGTCTTAATTATATGAACGCTATATTCGCAGCGGTAGATACGTCGAAGAAAATTTAATGCTAGGGATAAATATGGTGCTATGCTAGCTATGTTCGTTCGCTGTATTAAAATTAGCGACCGTATTAAATGATGTGGTCACATAAAATGCGAAGTGCGGTGGTACATACGTCGAAGAAAATTTGATGCCAGGGCGCTATGTTCGCTTTGTATATTAAAAATAGCAAGCATTTTGAATGGAGCTGGCTACATAGAATGCGGATAATATTTATGCCATGTTCGGAATAAATTTGACGCTTGACAGAGCGTTATGCTAGCTATATTCGCTATATACATATATTAAAAATAACAACCATTTTAAATGGACGTGGCTACATATGTATGCTACGTTCACGGTGAAGCAAATTTAATGATAGGCATAACGAGTGCGCTAGCTTTTAGCTATGTTCGGTGTGTGTACCAAACATAGCACCCGTTTTATTTTTAGTACGTGCGGTCACATAGAATGTACCCTATATGTACGTGGTGGATACGTTTGATGCAAATTTAATGCTAGACATACAGAGAGCGCTATGTTCGCTGAGTGTATTAAAAATAGCAACCATTTTAAATGAGTGTGGGCCCGTTGTGGTTTATATGAACGCTGCGTTCGCGCTAATAGATACGTTGTAGGAAATTTAATGGTACGGTTAAACAGGACGATGTTAGCTATGTTCGTTTTTTGCATTAAAAATGACGATTCGAAATATATGTACGCTACGTACGCGGTGGTAGATGCGTGGAAATATACTTGAAATTAGAGTGATACAGAACGCTACGCTCGCTACATTCGCTATGTACTAAAAATAGTTATCACTCTTTTAAATTGACATAGCCACAAAGGATGCGTACAATATACACCCTTCATTCGTGGTGTATAGACATACATATAGGTAGATACATTGAAACAATTTTGATGCTAGGTTTAAACAGACCATTATGCTAGCTATGTTCGCCGTGTAGCTACATGGAATTTGTACTAGATATTGCTACGTCCGGTAGTTGATACGTCGAAGTGAATTTTATTCTTGGCTATATTTTTAAAACGACACTTGGTCATCAGTACTAGGGTCACACAAAGTGCTATTCTAGCTATGTTTACCACTTTTATTAAAAATATCCATTGTTCTAGTGATCGTAACTACGTCTAGACAATCCATTTAAAATAGTGGTCTCTATTTTTTATACGCATACCGATCTAGCATAGCTCTATGTGACAATAGTTTTGACTGCTTTTTACGCGTATAGTGAACGTAGAACTGTAGCTAGGCATAGCGCTTTGTGTTGCCTTAGCATTAGAATCATAGGTGTGATATAAAATATTTATTTCGTTTTGATTTCTATTAAGTGCCTTATATTTCGAAATAACAATTACAGTTGAAAAGTGAATACAGTTTCACAGCCACTTAGTGATACCAAGGCATAATTGCGAGCCACTTCAGCATCTCATTACTCCAAATAACAAATACCTCTGGCAGACCTATTTAAACTTGAAGTTCATTAAAATAGTGAAACGTACAATGAGAATAATAGAGAACGATAATAAAGCAAAACATTAAAATTAACGTTCAACCAGTTCGGGTAACAAAATGAAATTAGGCTATAAATATTTTCAGGAGCAATTTGGTGGCCTGTAAGGAGAAAGCTACCCTTCTAATCCTGGCGAGATCGCCTCCACGCTTTCGCAGTGGAAAGTGGGGAAATATTTATTTACTTTTACGGAATACTTTCGCCAAAATAAATCTGCGAGACGCGAATTTAATGGTTAGGCTCGTTTCTTATTTTTTTCAATAGTTTTTTTCGATGTTTTAATTAAAATGCACGCATTTCGTAATTTGCGCATTATATGATTCCGATAAGGATAAAAAAATCTCAGCTTACGATGTGGGCGCGTCAGAACAAATAGGGAAGACAAAGTAGCATCTTCCCCCCACTTTCTGTTTGTTTTTAAGCGTCGTTTACTATAATACAATGTATGAAATAGTTTGAGGGGTACTGCTAGGATCCGACACTGATTATTGAACTGCTTGGTCCTCGGGTTGACGTTCGAACACTCTTGATGTTAGCTCCGCACGGTGTTCAGTAGTGAACTCCGCGCCAGATTCGGGAAATTCGAACTTTGAAAAATTATTCCTTTGGAGTTGGTGACCTTCTCCAAATAGTTATTGTGGTTAATGTGGACCCTAAGGTCGTTTTATAGTTCGAGTTCCGAATTATTTGGATGTATTAAATTTTGCCGAAATTCGAAAGAGTGGTAAAAATTTTCGCGTTTTTGTGTTCTGTCGGCGGCTTCTGGATGGTGAAAGGCATGCGTGTTCGCCATCGTCTGAGAGGCTGGTGACTTTTGGCTTCGTGGCAGTTTGGCGGGAAGTCTTCGAAAGGTGTGTGAAATTTTTGGCGACAATTGTGCCTTTGCGGGGGGAAATGTCGGAAATTTTCAAAACATGCGTGAAAAAGTGGTTCCCTATTGTTTTGGCGGGAACTGCGCCTTGTATGGAACGTTTTGGATGGTTGAAGAATTATTTTCAAAGCATGGGTGAATTTCGAATATACTTATCCTTGTGTCTTGTTTTTGTAACTTTTTTAAAATAAAATGTATGAATGTAATAATTTAATATTCGTAGAAAGTCAGTAGAAAGTAGTTGAGTCAAAATCAACGTGCCATTTCCAAAAACACCTTGTATGTTAGGTAAATCACTGAATTTTTTATTAATCAATTCGGTGGAAGTGCGTGGATGTCCCGGTAAAGTCGCCGTAAAGTGTCGGCAAAATCCCCGAGCGGTTGGTCTATCTACATAGGCCCATTTCCTGTTGGATGGTTCTGGTGACGTATTAAATATTCAACATAATAAAGTCACGAATGTCGATTTAATAATTTATCTGAAAGGCTAATGCACTGGCTCAAGACAACTTACTAATGGTCAATTAATCTCTGTCACCTTATACAGATTTCATCTCTTGGCCCAACAGACGCTTTAATTTTTATCGTTTAACTAACTATCACCCAGATAGCACTGATTCATGTATTAATCATTTAAGGTTATTCCCTTGTTCTTACATTCGCATTTGCTCCAGATATGGCTGATGAAGTTGCATAATTTAGTATCATTTATCATTCTTATTCTTACTGGATGTCCCCCATTTACAGTAAACCCAATCTTTTTTGCTGATAAACAGTACACTAATTGTGTTAGTGGGAGGTTCTCAAGTCAATTGCTGTGTTAATCTCTTACAACCCCAGTGGCGCCGAGGGGGTTAATTCCAATACAAGACATACCCGTTCCAATTTTACCTATAGTGTCAAAATTGGGGTTGAAGAAAGTGAAATTATAGTCTTTCCGAAGTTGGTTGAACATGTATATAAACGCTTAGCAATAAAATTTAATGAGTTTCATAGGCGTCCCTAAAAAGTTTTCTGCTAAAGGTAAAAAATAATAATTAAATTTATTTAAAAATGTTTGAAAAATTATTAACACCAACTAAATAGACAATGTTCTAGTCTATTCTACACATAAAATGAGGTGAAAATATCGGAAGGTTGCATTTCAGTTCACTTTATTTCTAGATTATATGATATAAATTCAGCCACACTTTTGCCCACACTAATGTCACACTAGTGCGAATTCGCACCTATCGGACTTTTCAG